GAGGACCCCACGTAACGCCAAGCGAGAAATGCTTTGAACCGTCCCGTAGGACGTACGAAGTCAGAATGAGGAATTCCTTGAATCACCGCGAGACACCCGTAATCGATGTGAGAAGCCCCTTTATGTTTATGTGCGCCACCTATTAAGGAATCGCTGAAGCTTCTAGCCGAATAGTACCCGTGTTCCGCCGCTAGATGGAAGCACCAATAGTGGCTAAGGAAAGACAAGGAAAGATTCATGAGAGAGAGTAGGACGGACTTACTTTATTGGCTGCGCCATCTATTGGTATCAAGCTGGTACTATTTGACTAGATGTTTCAGCACCCTGTTCATAGATGGCGCCGCTATTTTTCAGATGGTAAGACAAGGATAGATATATGAGAGCGAGAGAGATAGCTGTATCGGATGTTGTGGCTCCATCTTGTGGTGACAAACAGGAACTATTTGGCTAGAAGTTTCAACGCTTGGTGAATAGGTGGCGCTCGCAGAAGCATTAAGGGTCTCTCACACCGATTCCTATTATGTGGCACCGCAAAACTGGTTTTTAACGGAATGTTAAAAACTTATTAACTGTTAACAAACCACACGCAACTGTTCTGCGTTATTAAAGCAATATTTATGTAATATTTGACAATGAATAATTAACAATAAAGTTTACATTCGTTGCATAAAGGAAATGCTCGCACACATATATATCTCTCCTTGTCTTATTCATTGCATACTTACCGAACCCAATGAACCCATCCGAAAATCACTAATAACTCATTAATTACAGCTCAAATCTAATCAAAACCACAGAAATACCGTTGCAGATTGAAAAAATTTGAAAAGACTATAGAAATATCCATTACACCTTGCTTCTGTACAACTGCAGCTGTCACCATAGAAATAGTTCCTTAAAAAATCCGATGCGGCGAATCTTGACGTCCTAGCGTACACGTTAACGAGGTCATAGGAGAGCGCAGGTGAAAAAATGAAACACGAGACAGCGGTGTTCTTCGAAAAACAATGAAACTTTATTTCCGAAATATCGATCGTTACATTCTGAAAAGAGATTGACACGAATAGAGAGAAATTTGTTCGCTAAGGGGCGCGATGCGACGGCATCGCGTCTCGCGTCGCGCCGCGACGTGCTTATACTTTCTATGTTCCGCGCGCGGCCGATCCGCGGCTTCCGCTTCGAAGCCCGGCCGTTCGTTAGGTGGTTTCGCTCGAGGCCCAGCCTCTGTTCGCCGTCAGGGCGACGTCTTGTACACCGACATTTAGCTTTAACTCTTCATATATATATACTCACAATAATAATTCAATCTCGTTCAACATAGAAACAGGATGCGCGCGGCGTGTCTCGCGTGCTTTAGCGTCTAACGAATCCCGCACGGAAAGCGCTGGTCCTCGGAGAGTGTTTTCGAACGAAGGTCGGCGGCGCGTTCGTCGTTACTTATTCGTTTACTTGTGTGCATCGCGAAAGGTACCCTTTCGGACGAGTGGACCCAAATTTCCGATCGGCCTCGCCGATCCGAGCTCGCTGACTATTCTACGCGACGGTACGAGTACGTGTGTCGGGAGGGGGGATCGGGCAAGCTTAAATTCGTGGACGGGAGGTCGCGGGCACGAGCAGGGGAGCGTTCGGACTCTCTCTGTGGTTCGGCAGCCGCGGCTGCGACGCGACGCTCGTCGACCGGTTCGAAGCGGATCGCGACGGCGAGTCGGAGGGGGTCTCCCGCGCTTGGACACTGTTGCCGTCGTCGACGTCGTCAGCGATGCTCTTCTCTTCTCGCTTCTCCTGACTCGCGCGAGACCGTTGCTCCGGCTGGGCCGTTCGCGTCTCTGGCGTCGACGCTTTTGGCTGATCGCGGTGGTCGAGCGTCGCCGTCACTTTGGGGCTGCTGGTCGGGACCGTGGTGACGATCGTCGTGGCCACCGTCGACGTCGTGCCGTCGCTCGGCTTCTCGCCCGTGAGCCAGTATGTTGTCATGATCCCTTTGCCCTGCAAACGTTCGGATTACAGGCTCGAGCTCGCGCTTGCCCGCGAGGAATCGTTACCTTCATGGTGACTTCCCCTCTGCAGACCAGCTCGAACGTGCCGAACGTGTCCAGGATCTCCTTCGTCTTCGGGCTGACGTGAATCTTGAGAGCTGCGGAGGAAGACGTCGTTAACCGTTTCAGTGCCACGTGTCTTTGCTGTTTTCCCGTCCAAAAGTGGCAAGGAGCGCTTTTTCGCTTGTCTTATTCTCCGATTAAAAATGACAAGGAGCGCTATTGCGCTGTTAAAATTAAAATTCGTTCTTTTACCAGCTGTTTCATTCTTTTACTTTTACCTAAAATTCACGGCTTCGCAGCTTACAGCGCTGGCACTGTTTGAGCGATACAGAAGAAGCGCAAAATCGCTCCTTGGCACTCAAACGGTTAAGCTAGGAAAGAACAGCGCGAGGAAAGAACAGTACCTTCTCCGTTGCTCTCCATTCTGGAAGCCGTGTTCACCGTGTCCCCGAACAGACAGTATCTCGGCATCTTCAGGCCGATCACTCCAGCCACGCACGGGCCTGAAACCGACGATCGTTTAGCATCAAGTAGCAACAACTCGCAAAGATAATTCGTACGCGACATTACCCGAGTGCATCCCGATTCTGAGCTTGAGCTGCTCCTTGGGTCTGTGTCGAATGCTGAAGGTCATCACGGTGTCCCTCAGCGCCAGGCTCATCCTGGCGATCTCTCTGGCGTGATTGGTCCCGTTCCGCACGGGCAGCCCCGACACCACCATGTAAGCGTCCCCTATCGTCTCCACCTGCGAAGCGACGGAAGAATTATACCTGTCGATCGTCTCTCGACGTCTCGCGACGCTCACCTTGTACACGTCGAAGTTCTCGATGATCGAGTCGAAGCACGTGTACAGATCGTTGAGCAGGTCCACGACCTGCAGCGGCGTGCTCTCGGCGGACAGCTTCGTGAAGCCCACGATGTCGCTGAAGTAGATGGTGACCTGGTCGTAGGTCTCCGCGATGACGCTCTGGCCCAGGATCAGCTGAGACGCGACGGACCTGAAAGTTGCATCTCATTATCTCAGCGACGAGCGGTTTCGTCGAGCGTTTACCTCGGCAGCAGTTGGTACAGCAGCTCCTCGCACTTCCGCTTCTCCTCGAGGTAGTCCGCGGTGCGCTCCGCGACGAGGGCCTCCAGGTTGGTGGCGTACTGCGTCATCCGCGACAGCAGGTTGTCCATGATGTTGTTGCTCTCGTGGTCCCTGAAACGAGAGAGTCGCCATCGATTCCCCGTCGATCGCCGATCATCGAGCCGCCGTCGCGCTCGAGATCGTCGAGCGTTCCCTCGCGAGTTTACCGAACTCGGAGGAAATCGAGTACGATTCTCGGGACACGAGTCCGCTTGGCAACCGAGTGCGACTCGGTGCACGCGACCGAAGGGAATCTGCGCAGTATCCTATTGCGCGCAACAGGACGCGGATCGATCGAACGCAGCTCGCCTCTCCGACCATCGGAATGCCTATGAGGGAAAGCTGATCTCGACCGTGGAAACGACGCGGTCGAGAATCCCGTCGACGAGCAGGAAGCCTCCGATCGAACCGCGCCGATCGCGGAGACACCGGGGCACCGTCGCGCGGCGTCGGACTGTCTTCCTCTTCTTCTCGCTCTCGAGACTCACTTGTTAATTTTCCGGATCGTCTGCTTGAGCGCGGAGAAGTCGGGCCTGTCCGCGGCGTCCTCCGCCCAGCATCGCTTCATCAGATTGGACACCTGTTCGACAGAACGATCGTTAGCGTCTTAGCAGCGAGACTCGCGAGGAGCGCGCTTACCACTTCCTCGACGGAGGAGTCGATCGCGGGCCGCAGCGGAGAGCCGCCGCCTCTCTTCACCCCCTCGACGATCTCTGAAACAGGAAACGGTGTGGTTTAGCAGCGATCGACGATCGATCCCGAGAGAACTCGATGTCCTCGACGAGCGAACGGTACGCGACTGTCTCGAGATTCACGCGTCTCTCGCGGATCGCGACGAGACCTACTGTTGTGCTTGTACAGGTCCTCCAGGACGGCGTTGCAGGTTTCGCAGTTGAGGGTGCAGTGGGGCCTGCGGACCTCGAGCAGGGGGCTGACGGCCCTGCGCGGGCTGGCCCCGCCGTCGGGGCTGGCGCCCGAGATCGCCGGCAGCGTCAGGCTGCTCGTGCTCGACGATTTGCTCCTCTCCGCCATTATCTCTCGCCACCCCTGTCTCGATCACTGCGGGGAAATCCGCTCAGCGCTCAGCGACGAACACCGGCCGGCGCGACCGCCGTGCTCCGCGACACGGCGCTCCTGGGAGTCGACGGCGAGAACACGTCCCCGGGACGAGCGACGGAACGACCGACGTTCTCGCGAGACGCCTACAGCCTCCGGACGCGGCGGTCTCCACCCTCGTCGCGGCCCAACGAACTCCGCTCGCTCGCGCTTCGCATCGCGCGAATCCGACCGATCTTCCTGTTGCGTTCGCGCGACCGAACAGGCTCTCCGAGCTCGCAGCCGACGAACCCGACGACAGACTCGGTCAACGTTTCCGCGCAGGACGTCCGTCGGCGCCGCGACTCGCGAACCCGAAGCGCGGCCTCGCCGCCGTTTCGAACCGATCAATTAACCGACGACGGGCCACGGCCGCGGAATCGGGGCGAATTCGCCGCGAGGAAGTCCGGGAACGGTCGGCGAGAGGGGAGGAGGTGGGGGCGACGGGCGAGCGAGGATATCGAGCAAACGGGAAATCGGGCCGAGGAAATGGGACGGTCGAACCGATGGTAAACACGACGGGTCGCGCGGATCGGGACGGAGTGCGGCGCGGAAAGGCGCAGCAACCCCGGCGCGCACGTACCGCACGGGAACGAGCGGACACGTAGGGAAGCACGCGCAGCCGCCTCCTCTCCGACGGTCGCCGTCGATTAATTCGACGACCGTCGACGACCCCGTCCGGCAGGGGTGCACCTCGCGACCGCGTATCGAGATCGAGGGATCTAGAGCGGAATGGAGGCGAGGCGTGGAGAGAAGCTCGAGCAGGACGGAGAGTAGAGGGAAGCGGGAAGGAGATCCAGGAGATCGAGGCTGGAAGGAGAGAGGAGAGATTCGTTGAGATCTGACCCCAGTGGTTTGGCGATGTAGGGCTGACGGAAGCGACGGGAAAACACGCGCGACGTGTGCGTTCCAGGACGCGAGGAAGCTTCGACTGAGGTTTCCAGCCCCGTCGAACGCTCCTGGCCTACTCGCGGCCCGCTCCATCCTGTGATCGATCCTGTCGCTTTCGAGCTTAAGGAGGGTCGTTAACTTCGTTGCCGATCGATCCTGTCGCTTGCGGAACGTAGTCTATTCCGTTACCGATCGATCCTGTCGCTTCCGAGCTTCCGGAAGCTCGTTTATTTTGTTACCAATCGATCCTGTCGCTTTCGAGCTTAAGGAAGGTCGTTTACTTCATTACCAATCGATCCTGTCGCTTTCGGAAGCTCGTCTACTTCGTTACCGATGGATCCTGTCGCTTTCAAGCTTTCGGAAGCTTGGTTACTTCGTTACCGATCAATCTTGTCGCTTTTGAGCTTGCGGAAGGTCGTCAACTTCGTTACCAATCGATTCTGTCGCTTTCGGAAGCTCGTCTACTTCGTTACCGATCGATCCTGTCGCTTTCGGAAGCTCGTCTCCTTCGTTACCAATGGATCCTATAGCTTTCGAGCTTGCAGAAGCTAGTCAACTTCGTTACCGACCGATCCTGTCGCTTTCGAGCTTGCGGACGGTCGTCAGCTACGTTACCGATCGATTCGCGAGAAGTTCTCTGCTGCCGATACGAAACCGCCGCTTAGACACGCTTTATCGGTCGAGCCGCGGGCTAGACTTCCAGTGAGACAAATAGGAATCTCTCGCGACTTACCCCATTCGGTGAGACGATAATTGTCGCCCAAGTAGAACGGTCCCTGGCGTACCACGATCTGATGGACGATCACGGCGAAGCTGTAGACGTCACCCTTCTGAGTACCCTCCGGTGGTCGCCTCTCCATCCTCAGCAACTCCGGCGCCGTCCACAGCTGTTCTGCGCATGAGAAATAAAGATTCCACGATGCTCGGACCGCGCCTCGGGATCGAGAGGGAGAGTTTGTACCGTCGAGTCGCCCGAGACGAACTCGCCGGCTACCCTGCGTTCTTACAGCGCACCTCCGACGACTCGACGGACTACCGTCAAGCTGAACAGTCAGAGGAATAGGAGACTCATACACTGACACAATGTTTGAGCCTCCTGTCTTCGACACGATTATCCCTTTGCACTCGGAAGTCTAACTAGAAATACTTCACATTTTCCAATGAGCTACAGGCGACACTTTATGAGACGAACCGAATGATAGAATATAATAAACTCTTGCACACAGTAAACTTCGTGATCCGTAAACAGATGAAATATAGGACAATAACCTTGTTTCCTAACTTAGAATATATAAGTTAAACAGGTGAAATATAGAAACAATAACCTTGTTCCTTAACTTATATATTCTAAGAATATAACTAATTTAGAATATATAAGTTAAGGAACAAGGTTATTGTTTCTATATTTCACCTGCTTATGAATTACGAAGTTTCCAAGAGTTTATAATTTTGGTACGTCGAATCGAATGAGTGACAGTCACCTATGCAGAGTCATTGGCCCCGTGGCAGCAAGGGACAGAGATCGAACGCGGAGTGAGACGTAAAAATAAAGTTGCCGGCATTAATCGATCTCTATCGTTACATCTCACTGTCGCGCTCGATCCGTCCCTCGCTACCGTTGACAACGACCACGCGTCGAAGACAGGCGACCAGAACACTACGAGCACAAGAGTCCTCCCTCTGAGTGTCCATATCGCCGATAGTCCGCCAACCGGTCGGTGTGCTATTCGCGTATACTTCCGAGAGATCGTCGTGCTCTCACTTCTCCAATAGCCGGAGTTGTTCCTGCCGAGGTCCGCTTTGTTCGGGCACCACTTCCTCAGCTCGTGCAGCCCGAAGTCGGCGATTTTCAGGACGAACCGCGAGTCCACCACGCAGTTGTACGAGTTCAAGTTGCCGTGGCTCCTCACCTCCGACGCGTGCAGGTAGCTCATACCGCGGACGATGTCGTGTATCAGGGACACTTGGAACACGCGGTCCAGCTTGATCCGTTCGTCCAGCAGCACGTCCTGTCGGTGGCGAGACACCGTTACTCCCGATCGTTACGCGACCGTCGGAGCCGACGGGGAACGGGGCTAAGCTAAAACGTAATCGCGAACAGTCCCCGCGCGGCGAACGATCGACGAACCTGAAGGGATCCCCTGGGACAGTACTCGGTCAAGAGGCAGCAGTTCGGCGGGTCGACGCAGGCACCGTAAAACCGCGCCAAGTGGTCGTGCTGGAGGTCCTTCATCTGCAAACGAACGATTCTCTCCGTGAAACGATCTCGCGGCGGAATGAGCGAGATTCCGAAAGCTCACCTTTTTCAGCTCGAGCAACAGCGGCCGCGAGATCTCCACTTTGTCCCTCGGAATGAACTTGATGGCCACCTTCGAGTTCTGCAACGAATCGCGAATCGCTTTACGTAATGAAGGAATCGACACGGCAGGTTTTACCCTCGGAACGAATCGAACCTTGTAAATGCCGGTCGTGATGTACGGGTTCGCGTCCAGCTCGTCCGGCAGGCTCGCGTTCTCCACCGAGTAGATCGTCTGCAACCAAAGGAACAGGTTCGCGATCGATCTGCTTGCACGCTACGAAGATTAGAAAATGAAAACTAGTGTCTCGCGTTCACCAATTGACTGCCGCGTATCTTGTTCGCGAAGAACGAGGACACCGAGCCCCTCGATTTCGCTTTCGGCACGAGCTTGATGTCGTTCCAGTGTATCTTCCAGGTCATGGAGGCTATGTCCGCCTCGAGTTTGAAGTGCCTGCGAATGGAAACAAGTCGTAAGCGTGACCTTTGCTCGTTCCTTCGGACCGTCGACCCCAGCTTACCTGTAAATAAAGACCGAAGCGACCACGAGGACGACCACGATCGAGCTCAGGACCATCGAGAGGATCGCGTGCACCGGCAGAGCTGTCGAACAGGCCGAACGTTTCAAGATAGATTTAACACTAGAACTACTGAGTCAATTACTGATTTCTTTCAATGGTTTGAATTGCAAACCGAGTCTCAGTAATTGTACTGTTCAGGTTTCTACGGAACAATTTCAAGAAGACAATTTAACTCGGTAGTTCCAGTGTTAACCCTTAGCAGTCCAGGTTGTTTTTTAATCTAGCAACTGCAACTAATTTTTATAGTATTCCCAGCGAAAATTAGAAATGCAACATTTCTTAGATCTTTTATTTTCCTTGTTAGTAGAAAATTTGGATGTGAGAATCTAATAATTTTAGGGTAGTTTCTTTAAGATTCATTAAAATATTTAATATTATTCCTGCTGTAATATTCGAGCCTACAGAGTTCAAAGGGTTAAAGAACTCTTCGACTTACAGTTATCAGGACACAGAGAACCGTCGAACCCGCAAGTGGGCGTGTCCGGGGGTGGTTCATCGCGCCCTCCCGACCAGTGGATCTTCTTCCCGGGGACGTACTCGAACGTTTTATTGGCACCGTAGAAATTGGCGACTATCTGCGACAAACAAGTGCGAGATTCATTGGCTGATTAACTATTTCAATGGCGAGCTCCAAAAGCAGCAGCCCATTCACCGAATCGAATCAAGTTTATCATTTATTTTCTTCATAACCATTTACTTTCATTTCTTATTACAAGCTTAAAAACGAGAAAACGAAACGATCGCGTTCAGAGCGTTCCTCTGTAAAGATAAACGTGATTTCCTGATCTGACTCGCGGCACTCGAGGATCGACGAAGTTCCGCGGAAGTTACCTCGAACCTCGACGTCGCCGGGTTCATGTTCAGCAGGGAATAGTCCGCTATCCGATCGCCGTTCTCGTCGATGTTCACGTCGCCCGTGATACCTGCGGAACAGCGGGAAACGATGTAAAACGCGGTACGCTGGGGAGCCGAACGGGCGGAAACGAGGGCGCGTCTCGGTCACCTTTAAAGCTCCTTCCCCACATCCGTCGGGTGAGATTACCGCCGTCTAAATTGACTTTGCCGGGGTGTTCCGGCAGGCTGTCCTTCAGGGCGAGGGCGTAGAGGAGGACGGCGTCGTAAAACGCCGTGACGAACGTCGAGACCGTGCTGTTTCCGAAAGTGAAATTGTATTTGCTCTGCGCGAGGGACTTCACTTCCCGCGAGAAGTTCAGGTACTCGACGTTGTCCGGCGTCCGGGGAGTAACCGTTAACAGCGTCTGATAAGCTTTCCGCGCTTTCTCGTTCCTCTCCTCGCTGTCCGCCTCGACCCTCCAAGGTTCCCGCGAGTCGTTGTCGCTGAAACACGTACATACCAACGAGACGCGCGTTTTTCCGGAGCGTTTCGTTCGCTACGAGCACAGCTCAGAGATATAGTCGACGTCCGCCGAGACCGGAGACCAGCGAGGTCTCTGGGAATTTTCGTTTCGATACGCCTGACCCTCGATTCACGCGGAGATCCGTTCCACGCGGTTCGTTTCACAAAATTGCGTAAATAGAACAGGTCGGTCCAAGAGAGAAGAGAATATTGAAGAGAAAAGCTGGTGTAAGTTTTAGAAGTACGCATTTATTTCACGTAGCTGAACCCTTTATGGACCGAATTTCTGTTCATTGTTATAAGAAAATCTATGCAGTACAAAGTTAATAGATATCCACGTATGAATATGAATTAACAATGTATTCAATAGCTTCAATAATTTCATCAAACGAATATATTTTGTAACGTTAAACTTCCCTGCCTGAGCGTATAAAAGTTTAAGTTAACCGATTACTTAATTTTATTTGCCACTTCGAGTGCAAGATGAAATAAATCGACAAGATGCCAATATACCGATATGTGACTTTGAAGTTACATGGGCCTACAGAGGGTTAACGAAAGAATACAATGAAATTTCAGAAAACAAAAGTACATTTTACGCCACCGCGTAAAAGAGGCTCGCGTAAAAGAGTCCGCATAAATCGAAGGTCAGGTAATTTGCGACAGCGAATTCGCATAGAACCGCGACGAGGAAAGACGCAGCGACACCCGCATTCCTCGGCGTCGTCATCGAGTCAGCTCCCAATAGCACGTTTGCTCCCGTTTCCAAAACTTCAGAGAGAGAGAGGGAGGGAGGCCGCAGAGCGACATGCGGTTTGCGGGTTCCGGCGCGTCCGATCAAATCAAAGGTTGTCGGGCGTCCTGTCGGTCTGCGGATCGGCGGGGCGATCGACCGATCGGCCGCTTACCTGGAGGACAGCTCGATGGAGAAGAACACGTACTCTCCGGAGTCCACCATGCCCAGCTGCTCGGCGGCCAGCAGGACCTCCCTGATGGTGGTCGCGTTGGCGCACATCACCACAACTGAAACGGGAGGAGAGCGAACAAGCTTTCACAGTCTGTCCTCGGGGGAGTCCTCTCGCCTCGGCTCCCGGGGAACGCGGGGAAACGGGGCCGGCGAGAGGGGACTTACTTCTGGCGGACTTCGCGAGGAACGCGAGCAAGTTTCTGTAATCCTCGCCGGTGGAGGCCTCCTGATCGAAGCTTTTGTACACGGAGGTTCGGTTCAGCGCGGTGTAAGCGGCGGCCAGAGTGAAGTGGCACTCGGAGTTGCCGCGGCTGCTCGCCATCGCGTGATTGTGGTACAACAGCCCGACGACCTTCCATCCGAATCTCTTCAAGATGTTCCTGAGCGCCTCGCCCACCAGCCGGTGGGAGCCCATCATTCTGGTGAGGGTCGGGTAGTGCTCGCCCTTGTGGCGGAACGCCTCGGCGCGGCCGCCCGCGGTCAGCACGGGGATGCCCCATACGCCGGCGTAACGCGCCACCGGCGCGATCACGTAGTCGCAGACCGGGCCCAGGAAGGCATCTGCGTTCGCAAACCGTTGGTCCCGCGCTCCACCCGATCTCCGACCCCCCGAGCTCGATCCTCGTGCCGCGAGAAATTCCGAAATTATCGTCACCGATCGGCGAGCAGTATTTTCACGCGGTAGATAACGTTTATCGCGCCGCCGCGCGGATACTCGTGAATCGAGCTACTTTCCACCGGTCGTCGCGAGCACCGTCGAGGCCTCCGAGCAAGTTTTCCGAGCGGAGCGGCGTTAAACCGGGCCTCGCGCTGATGACTCCCGCGTGTGCCGCCGGGGACGGGTCCCGCGCGTAAACACTGCCGCGATCAGCCAGCGAGCGATCGCGAATCGAGGTTCTCGAGCGAAGATAAAAGCCGGGTCGCGGTAAGAGCGGACAGAGAGCCGGTTAGCCGAGCCACGGAAAGCTTTTATCGCATCGTTTATGCAGAAGCCGCTGCTCGAGCAGCTCTTTGTCCGCTCTCCCTCGGGAACCCGGGTAGATAGACACGCGAGGGAACGGATACCGCGTTCGTGACGTAGAGGAGAGAGAGGATAGTATATATATTCCGGGCAGAGTTCGACGGATACTCGCGTCTCGGTCAGGATCGACAGCCGATCGTTCTCGACACGATAACGCGTCGCCGATAAAACGATCGATGACCGAACGAAAGAAACGTGGTGACGTTCGCGCGTAAACAATCCTAATTATAGATAGCCGATAAGATTCGAGTCGGTTTCTGTGGGCGACGGAAGCGACGGGGGAGCGGCGAGTCAGGATCGAGGGGAGAGAAGAGAGAAGAGGACCTGCTGTCCGGTTGATGTAGAAGTCGAACGCGGCCAGCGCTCCGTACGTGCTGGAGCACTTGGAGTCCCGGTGCTCCACCAGGATCGTCCATCCCGGCAGAGGGCCGTTCGCCGAGCTGACGGCCCTCACCGCGAGATGAACGGCCGGCAGAATCTTCGGCAAGCTCTGCTCGTGCCGAGGATCCGCCGGCGCTATCACCGCCAGTTTCACTGAATCCCGCTTGATCGGCGGGCCGCGCGTCCCGACGCACTCGCTCGCGCCCGACTGCATCGTCGTCGCGTTCGCGCCCGCACACATGGTGGTCAGGAGCAACGTCAGCCGCATGGGAGCGTCGCCGACGCGTCTACGTCGCGCGCCTCTTCTCGACGACATGCGAAATCGTTTCCTCCGCGGGTTCACCACGACCGCTCCCGTCCCGGCGTCATTCCCTCTCGACTCTGACACGCTTCGGATGTATCTCGCTGCGAATTTCAAAGTGTCTTCCCGCCAACGCGCCGCGGGCTGTCGAGCTCGGAGGACGAAGCGAGTCCGCTCGGGCCGCGCGATCGAAACTGAAGCGCGACTGGACCGCGTTCCGGAGAAGACAGTCCGCCCCGAGTCGTCGCCGACGTCGCGCTCGCGGATCGTTCTCGTCCTCTCCCTCCTCGTGTTCGCGGTCCTCTCCTCTCTTTCCGCGAGGCACGCGTGCTTGCGCGTTGCGCCGCGTCGCAGCCGTGGATCCGACGCGAGCAGATCCGCCGCACGCGGCGACGCTCGACGTTTCGAGTTCCCTTGCGAGCAGCCGCGTCTCCGGCGATCGAGAAATCCTTGTAACGGTTTCTCCCGATATCGATCCCGAGTGTGTGTCGCGTTCGTTAACGAAACGTTTAAATATAGACTTTCCGGCGCGTCGAGAGGTATCGGCCGAGGAAAGAACAATAATAGAAACGGTTCGGCCGTTCGATAACGCGGCCCGATAACGCGCACGGAACAACGCGATAAATCCCTGTTCGTCCGATCGATACGGCGCGGTGGATCGCGGCCTGATCGCGGCCCGATCGCGGGAAACCGTTTCGTCGCGGGACGCGTCCAATCGGAAATGGAGCCGGAGGGGATGAAGACCGCCGCGCCGGGAGACGTTAATCTCCTCGGAAACTCGGCGGAGTAATGATCGATGGGACGCGACTCTTCCGCCGCCGATCGAGGAGACCCGTCCGTGTCCGGCACCGAGTGCGAGTCGAAAATAGACGAACGGGGATAGAAAAATGGCAACTCACCGCCGTACCAGTTGCCCACGTGATCCCGCAACGCCTCTGGATAATCTCTGGGCACCGTGGTCTCGAGATCAAAGGTGCTGAACAAGAAGTTCGGCTGCTTCTTGATGAACTCTACCATGGACTTCATCATCAGCTGACAGGTGTGCCTGCCGGCGACCCGGCTCTGCCCGTTCGTCGCGTAAACCAGATGCACCTTTCGCCACTCGTATCTGCGAAACGTCGCGGGTAAAACTCGAACGGCTGAATCGTATGACAATCGGTTAAACGACAGCGGAACGCACCGATTCATCAGGCCCACGAAGAAATTCGCGAGATCCCTGAACGCCAGGCTGCCGATCCTCGTCGTCATGAAGTACTCGTCCTTGCACTCGGTTTTCTTCTCCGTGAAGTCGAAGGTGAAGCCGCCGGTGGTGATCAGCGGGGCGCCGAAGAACTTGACGACCCTGCCGACGGCCGCTGAAAACCGTGCAACGTCAATACACGTCGCCGACGCGTTGAACCTTACGTTCAGCTTACCGACGCAATAATCGCAGGCGGGCCCCAGGAACAGGTGGACGCAGTTCGAGAAGCTGTCGATCGCGCCGATCTGAGCGTACGTCGCGTCGCAGTGGTCATCCTGCGGGAGGGACTTCAGCTTCAGCCAGGGCGGCAGCAGGCCTCGCGATCTCGCCTCGTGGACAGCCAGATCTACGGGATCGCAAACGATAATCCTGAATCCGAGAACGAAGACGCGCGTCTCCACTTACCCAGAACCGGCAGCACCTTCGGCAACGAGATGTCGTAGCTCGGATCCGCCGGGAGGAGGACCGCGATCCTCAGCTCGCAGGAGACCACGCCGTAACGATTCCGCTTGCAGAGGGTCTCGCAGCTGCGAGCCAGCTGCACCTCGCGACAGGTCACTTCTCCTCTGACAGGGCACGCGAACCAAGCGAACCATCCGAACGTCAACAGAACGATCCAATTGGTACCCATGTATACGCGCTACGCTCGCGCTTCGCAGCCCTCGACCGGACGTGAACACGGGAACGGATCCGCGCGTATTCCCTCGCGAGTCCTCCTCTTCTGCTTGGAAGGAAATCGACGCCGATTCAGATACCTGCACGTCGCGTTCTCGATTCTCCGTCGGCGCGGCATCGGTCACCGAGTCGCACTCGACTCCCGTTCATGTTCCCCGGTCCTCGAGGAATAGCGGAAACCCGTCGGGAACAGAGGCGAACGCGCGTCTGCCACGATACGCGGGCAAATCGTTCGTCGGAAGATCGATTCGCCGCTGGACAACTATTCTTAGACGCGCGAGGACGCGGACGAAGCCGGCTAACGATCCCGTGGTCTTCCTCGAGTCTCTATCTCCTTCGCTGGTTCTTCGACGTCCTCCGATAAGGCCAACTTTCGCGGGTCTCTCCGGCCGATTCACGGATGTTGTCCAACGCTGTCCGGACTTGTCAAAGTTCGCTCGGCGATCGGCCAGCGGATCGGTAACGGGTTCGCGCGAGGAAACGGCCGATCCGTGACTCCGGGATCTCGAAAAGAGTACTGACGGCTCGTCCGATGATCTTGAGCCGCATTGCCCACTCGCGCGAACACGTAAGTAGACTTCTCGTTGGCTCGTGTCGCGTTATCGCTGATTTTCTATCGCGTCGATTGATAATAGCTATCGAAAACTTCGTCGCGCGACCTCACCGCCTCCCGTTCCTCCTTTCCTTTAAAAGCTTCGACCATTATTTTATCGCTACCCGTTACCCTAAACGAGTCCTCTCGAACGCCGTTCCGTTCTTTCCTCTTCCGCTCTCGCTTGCTCTTCGGAATAGAAATCGGTTTATCGTATACAGTCAGATTGCGCTGGTCGTGTCGACGTATGTGATACAATTTTTTAGAGAAATCCAACGTACCAGGTAAGAGAGCGGGAATATCTTCGGCGTCCCTGGCACACCGGAAGTTGATGACTTCGTGAACGCCATATTAGGTATGCAGCCCTCGCTTCGGAGGATCGGATTACCGGCGAACTCTTTCATGTTTCCAGTAACTCCTTTAAACTGTATTACCGAAGATCCTCATGATCCTTGCAATGATTACCGAGGGTCCTTGCAGGGTCACCGATGACTCCGATAGAAGTATCAGAATGTTGAATTTTCTTCGAGACTTCGAACTAGACAAGCGAGTCTGCTAACTAACCTTATAGTGCTTGGATCGTTAAAAATCGATGATCCTTTTCGAAGGTCCTTTCGTTAAAAATCGATGATCCTTTTCGAAGGTCCTTTCGTAGGTTCAAGAGCATTGGCTAACGAGCTTGCAGACTTAGCAATTTCCAGTCGAACTGTCAATGATCCGAAAATATTTGAGAATGAAGATAATTAGATATGAGTGAAAGCTGGCAAGTGTAAGTACTTAACTTAATTCCTGAAAATCTCCTTTGAGAGGTGGTTCGAAATTATAGGCATTCATCCTTTTCCATTGTTAGCGTAGCTTCTGCTTCCGTAGTGTTGATAGTGTTATTGTTTATACGACGCGTGAACGCAATTCGTTGCCACTGAGAGTTGCTTTTTAAATATCGGTAATATCGAGAACGACAGCGTCGTGAAACTGCTCTGCGATTAAAATCTGCTGTGAGCCTCTATCGGTAATGTTGTAATCTACGTGTGTACGATATTTTTAAGATGGACACGTGCTTCGATCAGCCATTGTTCTTGGTAGATTATGGCGGGAAATAAGGAAACGAACCGATGTGAGTAATTCTTTGATTCTTTGAATAAAAATATATATATATATAATGAACGAACCGATCAGCCCATCGAAATTTTACAACAAGCAAAGAGTTGCGATCAAGAGAAAAAAATTCCGAAAGGCTTGTTCGCTGGATGAATATCCTCGGATGTCACTGCACTTGATAGGACTGCCAGAGTTTTGGCTGGAATGTGACAAACAGGCGAATGCACTTGTTAAAGCGTACGAAAAAAGCACAGATGCTCATATGCTGTGCACTTTTGTTTCTCAGCGTGAAAACGGATACCGAAAGTTCATAGTAGCCCACCCTGAAGTTTATTGGTGGCGGTACGTACGACGACCTCCAGAAAAGAGATGTTCTTATGAGGTAAGCTTGTATGACTATGGCACTTGTTAATGTCAATGTTCATTCAAGTGTGGGTAACGCTGAATTGATCTTGAATTAGGTAATTCCAGAGAACTCCCCCTGCCGACTGTATCTGGATTTGGAATACTTTATTGCATTAAATCCGGAGAGTGATGGTCCTTCTATGACCAACACGATAGTCGATATCTTTGCTGCTTATTTGCTTAAGCATTGGGGCTTGCCATGCAATAAATACAACACGATTGATTTGGACTCGAGTACTCCAGAGAAATTTAGTCGCCACATCATATTGAATATCAAGCATATAGCGTTTAAGGATAACTACCATGTTGGCAGATTAGTGAAATCTGTATGCAATGATATTTCTAATTATCTATCCACAGATGGAATGTACCATGATGTCTTAAACCAGTTTGATAGAACACAGTTAAAACAACTGTTTGTAAACACATATAAGGGTAACAAACTGTTCATCGATACAGCAGTCTACACAAAGAATAGACATTTTAGGATATATAAATCCACAAAATGGGGAAAACAGTCCAATTTGACGATCTCGAAAGACTGTAAATATATTCCTTCCAACTTGCATAAAGGCAAAGAGTTGGGTCTGTTTTTAGACTCATTGATATCCTACTTTGTTGCCAAACCGGATTTGATACTTTTGGAATATCCTAAAATTGATTTAACAGAAGTGAAACGTTTCACTCCCGAAAAACCTAAGTACATTTGTCATGAATACGACAAATGTTATTCAAATTATCCGACGCTAGACGAGTACATCCGTAAGAAGATACATCCTGGTAAAATACGAGCATGTAAATACTTTGAATGTTCCAAAACATTAGTGTACGAGACATTGGATTACAGGTAATAGTATACTGTCAATAATATGGGTCTTTTCGTTCAGAAACAATTAACAAAATATTATCTTTTGACCTGCAGGTTCTGTGAAAATATCGGTAGACGACATAAAAGTAACAACGTGTTCTTGATCGTGGACATAAAGAATAAAATACTGTATCAGAAATGTCACGATGAAGATTGTTCTGGCTTTAAATCGGAACCAAAACGATTGCCGGATGAAATTTCTTTCCAAATTGACGACGCCGGTGATGTTATGCTCCTAAGTTGCATCGCAATAGAAGATAGTACATAGGCGCTGGAAACTGAGATTGCGATAAAATATTTTATTAGGATAGAGGTAACAATAAAAAAAAAATAGGCTTTTATAGAATGAAAACATACACACACATGGAAATAGAGTTCAGTGAAATGCGTTGTTTCAGGTACACGACACGCAACTGTTGCCCAAATTCTATAAAAACGATTTGTACACAGCTGCTTCCGTAGTTTGTTTATCGGAGTGTAAAGAGTTGCTTTGTGCAGTGTTGCGTTGTGTGGACTGTTCAATTAAAATTTATACCATATAATATGTATACGTATGTGTACATCGAGCACACACATTACACACATGTATCCACTCACCACATATATATACATATATATAACAACTATAAATGTACGATACGTATGACAAATTCGCGCGCATGCATGTGTATATTAAATAAGTTTAGTATTTTATACATCTATATTTATACTACAATTATAGTATATACACTGTTACAACAAAATATTTTGATTTGTACAATTCCAGTTATTTGTTGTCTAACAAAGTTTATTCCGCAAAATCCTCCGACGAGATGTTCATGTGCATACATACGAGAATGAGTCGAGATTCGTTCGAAATGACGAAGATCGAAGTTGGTAAATATACGACAGAGAAATGAGTTCTGTTCGAATGCAAAATGCTATCTGGTATTTCCGTATGATATTCGTGTATGTATAGACATGTGCGTCAGTATGGCAATTATATAGACACAATAATGCGATGAAACGAGGGCAAATATGCATACACCACATTCACTCGGGTCCGCGAGTATCGTTGATTCCGACTTTTCTGCCCGTTCCGGGGTTGCGTTAATATCATTCTACCGACAGCAATCAATTTGTTCCTACCATGCGAACAATTTCGCAAGGAAAAAATAACCTAATAACCCTCTACATTCCTTGGTTGAACTTACACCGTCTTCGTTCTCTTCGTCTTCCTCCTCCGCGTCGTTCTCTTCCCGTGGCTGGTCTTCTTTGAACTTGAACATATCCGTCTGTTCCGTAACACTAGCGGTCACCTCCTTCCGCAGCGTTTCGTCCCTTTCCAAATTCGGAGCACAACATTCAGGAACTTTATCCTCCTGGACATTCTCCATTTTCAAGGAAACGTAACTAGTATTGAACGAGTCCAAACTCTCCTTGTAACGTTGATAATTCTTCGACGCCTCTCTCATACGGATTAAAAAGTCCGGTAACCCTACAAGTTTAAAGTCACAAATCTAACACGAATTCCGGGAAGGATTTGGATCGTTGCTTCGAACGGTCACCCGATGGCAGGTACAAGGGTAAGTAACAGCATACCTGTCATCGCGACCCACGCAGTAACCGCGGTTGGAATATTTACACCGGGATCGTCGAAGTAGGTCAATCCAAATTCAATGCCAGGTTCGTGGAATTCTGTATAAGGCCTTATCACCATGTATGACCAATACGTCGAGACTCTGTTACGTACAGACTTCAGATTATTCACTTATTAAGGAGAATCTTAGACTCTCCTACTTTCATATTTAATTCTGGCAGTCCAATTACTTATTGAACTAGGTGATTCCATAATGAAATACGAAACTAGAAAAGATCGATCGACCAACTTAACAATATCACAACTGTGCACATGCCATCTAAATTATTCAAAGTTGCAACGGACACTATCAAATTTTCACGATACCTGTATATCCCTGGTTTGATCGGCGCGTCGGGGTGTTCGGTTCCCTTACTGATGATAATTATCAACCGCCTGTCTTTGTCGACGACCCATTTTCTTTGATACACGTAGTCTCTATTCGCGAATAATCTCTAAAAGCAAAACGCGCATAACGTTACGAGACAGGTAATACGTACACAGGTACCTACTGCGCCGATCGAATGATCTAATGATTCTAAGATATTCGACAGTAACAAATGATCATTTCCTCGTACTGGCCATATCGTTTCCCAGTATAAGATGTCGGAACGATCGGTGCCGGTCGGGTCCGACATCGGATCTGTGTCTATGACTCGCAATTCCCGAGCAGTCGGGTCCCAGTTCCTTCTGTAATCGACGTCTATCTGCGTCTGTAGGAAGTCCTCAGCGGTAACGTCTGCGAATGAACCGTACACTTTGTACGCGTACAATCCCCCGGCATTGGGTTCTTTCCTTCTCCATATGAGCATATCTTCTCGTTCGATGTACGGCCTCCATCCATCCGCTGAAATTCCAAACAATTTCATATCCGTTTGCAAGGAACATTGAAACAAAACAAATTACAAGAATGATCCCTTACGGTCTTGGTTGGAGGATGCGCTGATCTTATCCCTACACGTACAATATTTGATGCCTGGCTGTTGAACATCTATCACGATTCTCAGCTGACAACTCGGACAAACCACAGTGCTGTCTCGCAACTTGTAAATCCCTTCGATTTCCTGCTTGTAACTAGAGAAAAACATTGAGTACAAAAAGAGAGCGAACCAACAGACGGAACATTTTCAACTGAAGTTACCTATTCAACTCTTCGTCGCTTATTCTCTCATGCTCCCAATTAAACACTGTCACACCGATAGTGCTAGTTAAGAGACGTTTACTATTCCTGAGAGAACGATTCCTCCAGGACTTCATAAACTCTTTGAGCACAACCTTCTCCCACATACGCGCGCGCAAATGGAATATTTGCAAGCTCCTGCGTAACCGTTGCGCAGCGATAAATTCGAACTGACGGACACAAGCTTCGGCCACACGACCGCTCCGTTCTCTGAGCCAGAGGCTTATCTTCTTCGGGCATTCGCGGAATTTCCCATAATTTCCGTAATGCCGGAAGGAAGGTGTTAATCTGGTACCAGTCTGAACGTAACCTCTATGGTACCGTTTCAGCAACAAACCGGAGAACTGTACCGTGTACATCGTTCGTATCCCCTTTACTCGGCTTTCCGTCGATAACTTTGTCGTCAGTTAAACATAAATAACGTCGCTCTCACTCTGTATAAATCACGGCAATCACGTTACTCCAAAAAGTTTCTTCCAGCGAAAACCTCGGTCCGTTTTGTAGGTTATGTTCCGCTGATCGCGAACGAGCGAGAATATTCCGTACAGCAAAGGATCCTCGTTTATCCGGAGAGTCTGATCAACAAAGCGTCTGCATCTTTGTTCCGACGACTGTGCACAGACGACCTGGCGATCGGCTCGGTTTCTACATCAGGAACGGCGAGGACGAACATGCGTATGTAACCAGCAACCGTCGGAAACGTAATTCACGTTCACGAATATCGATACCCTGACGCGGTCGAAGCTCCGACTTCGATTGTACGCGTTCAAGTTCAATTCCGATATACCGTGCGCCTCGATGCATCGTTTGTAACGGTCATTAATGTACAACGAGGCGTCGATGATGTTTCTTTCCTTTAATCGCGTTGCATTCGAATTTTCTGGCCGTGCTGAATATTTAAAAATAGTCCGTTCGATGCATCGATCTCTCGAAACGGTCGGTGCGTCGAATCTCGAAGCGACCGATACATCGAGTCTCGAGGGATCTTTCGATACGTCGCGAACTCGCGTTCGATGTTTCGAAAAAGAGCGGGACTTTTATTTTTCAAGTAAAATAAAAGTCTCATTGAATTTGTTAGCAACGATGCTTCTCCGAGAAATCATTAAAGAAGTCGATTAGTGATACTGAAATCTTAATAAATACACAGTTAGAAGTGTTACAAAGAAATTTAGTTAGTTAAATGCTTGGCAGTTCTAGTATTAACCCTTTGCGGACGAAGATACTTTGAAATATCCAAAGTCTTTAAAAAACGAAGTTAAATGAAATATCAATTACTCAATTAATAGGAAAAAAGCTTGTTGTCAGAACCAAATCATTCCTTTGAGACTTGGTCTTCCAAATACGAGCACTTCATCTCTCCGAAGTATCGACAATCATCCACAAATGGTTAAAGCTACTAAAATAAAGATGGCAGCCAATAGGAAACCCCACAAAACGTTCGTTCGTCACGCGAGTACCGAGAAGACCGGCGATTCGAATCGGGAGGGCATAAGGAAACTTGTTCGTTTACTACTGATCGTTTGTATTGTTGTTCGTATCGCTAATTTGACAAACTACGGCCGCTCGGAATGAAAGGACGCCCGCGCGACCGGTGTCCGCCACGTCCGGGCGACATGGCGGACACGCGAGGTCCTCGAGAAAAAAACCTCTTCGAAACGTATAGATCGGAGAGCCCAATGTCAGCGACGCTGCCACCGACGCTGCCACCGACGCTCGTTCAGCGAAATCCTGGCGCGTTCACTCGTTCAGCTTCCGGCAATCCAGCATTTGCTGCGCTTCCATCTGCAAGCAAGCGCACGGCAAAGAGCCGATCAACGATCTCGATCCCGAGACACGCGAAGCGAACGCGTAACCACCTGTATCGTGCGGTACACGTTCAGCAGTTGCTCTAGCGAGGGCGTGACCCTTGAACCGCACTCGACGCTGCCCGAGTCGAGCGGGCCTCTCCTCTGGCTCCGCTTTCCCCAGCCGGTCGAGAAGTTCAGCTGAGCCTGCGCCCCGGAGTCCAGAATCAGGCACAACAGGAAGATGACCGCGAGGAAGCCGAGACGGATTTTTCGATACCTGCGGGAAACCGAGGAATATTCTACCGGGCGGCGCGGATCGAACGAACGAGAGAACCCTGTCGCCTACTTACATGCCTGTGATCGCCGGTGCGCTGGTTCGTCTGGTTTCCGGTCTGGATCGCCGCCGATTGCAACGACGCAGCGGCGACCGGCATGCTTTTATACCCTCGTCCCAGGGAAACCATTCGAGACCGCGACTGGAGCAATCGCGTCGCCATAACGACGTCCTTTCGCGAGGAATCGGGACGATTTCGAAAGATCCCCGTTGAGCAACGCTCCCCGATACCGATGCGACTCGAACGGCTTCCCCTTCGTTAATTCTGGGGCCGCGAAGCCCCACGGCCGACGGCCGCTCGTTAATTAAACCGTGTCTCCCTTGTCGCGATCGTGGATGATCAGTGTCACGGGAAATTTCCCGGCGCCGCGGCGAAACGTATGAACGCGCTTGTATTCGAAGTTTACTTTATTGCTACAAAAAGAACAAATTATCGTTCGGGCGAGAAGCGTTGGCTGCCTCTCTTCCCGGCGAGAAGTCAGGGAGGCGAGGGGAGGCTTTCGGTCGCGGCGTACGAGCCGCCTCGGTTTTCGCAGCCATTGGCACGGCAATAACGCAGGGGAGCGAGGATGAATGCGAGTAAGACGGACCTATGGAGAATTTCCTTTTTTTATAGTTCAACTCCGTCGCGTTTCGTCTCGCTCCCTGTGTTCTCGCGGCTAATGATGACGGTGCCGGTTTAAATCCCCAATATTCACTGTCTCGAGCTGATTAACGCGATGTCGGGCAGAAAGTGAACACGAGGGGAACAGAGAAATACGGGTGAACGAGACGGCAAGTATAAATATGGAACGAAGAAGTTTTCTACACAGGAAATCGTGGGATTCGAGCGGCATCGGTGCACGCGTCGAAAACGAGTCCTCCTCGCCTCCCTAATTTCTCCGGAAGAGCCGCCAACGGTTCTCGGCCGGACATACACGTATCTCCGACGACGATAGTTGACGAGTCGCGGGTAAAGGATAAAGGTGCGCAGACGTACGGGTTGCCATCGACTGTCGCGCATTCGACGTTCGTCTCTTCGGCGAGTGCAGCTCGAAGGATGCGCTCGAACGCGGAAAGTGTTTAGAAAAAATTAGCGTGCGCGCTGAGAAACGGTCGTCTTCCCTTTTCCTTCTCCGGTCTTCTTCTTTCTTTCGTTTCTCCTTTTTTTTTCTTTTTTGTTTGTTTTTGTTTTTCTTGTCTGGTAGTACAGAAGGGCAGTGTTCAGATACATATGTATATGTAATCGCGACGTCGGCACGGCTATCTCGAGCCGTGGACGAGCTCCGGGGCCTCGATCGGCAACGACGGAGCCGAAAAACTACTCGACGATCGCGTTCCCGAAGCGTCTCGGGCTCCTCCGTTCGCTCCATTCCCGGGGGACGTCTGCGGCGCAGAGGTGCGAGGAACGCGAACGCGACTCGAAGCTTCGGTTTCCGTCGGGAGCCCTGTTTTTCGCATCTATTTTACCTTACGCCACGGCCGCGTGGCATCACTCGTTTCGCGACGTTCGCCAACAGAAACGTATTTTGTACTGCAAAATACGAGGGGCGCGACCGTGCTTCGCCACCTCGGCGATGCTTCCGTCGGGTTCTCTACAGTCTAAGAGTGGCTCGCAGCTAATCGTTTGCGCGTGCCGTTACACGCGATCCGCGCGTCCGTATTTCTTCTGAGATCACACGCTTTCGCAGTAAGCTGCACTCTATTCTTTATCGTATAAATTACACGTTGGCTTCCTTCCTTTCCTATCCTTATCTCTTTCTCGCACTCTCTCTTTCTTTCTCTTTCTCTCCCTCTCTCTCGCTCTCCATCACTCTTTCTCTCTCACGCACGCTGTCCCTTTCACTCCGAGTCCTGTCTTCCTCGTGCACGCGCACGCGTTCGTTACGTATTTATACATATATACCGTCAATGATTTATCGTACAAAAAGCTTACAAATTATTATCACATATATACGTGTACGTACGTGCGTATACGCGTACATAGGTACACGAATATACATACATATATGTATACATATATATGTATAGGTATAGAAATTGTTTCTCGAGGCGGAGCACGAAGAGCCACGGTCCAACGATGAGGAGGAACCGGATGGCAGGAAAATATTCAGCAACGTTCGGCGTTCACGCACGTCGGGACGACGAGCGAACGCTGTCCGTTGCACGATATGGCACCTCTGGTCTTTTTCGTCGAGTCCTCGAGAGAGTTGCCCCGAGTGCCCGTTCGGCTATTAGATCCAGTCCGACGAGTCGACGTTGCATCGAATCTTCGCGACCTCGCATGGTTCCTCGTAACTCGAGCCTGCTCGCAAACCTCGGAAAAACGCGTGAATTACCGGTCGCGTTCGAGTCTCGGGGAGGATCGATCGCCTCTCGATCTACGCGTAACACACCTCCTTCCGCGTCCCCTTTGTCTATTTTTATAATTTATACCTACTCTTAGTTGTAATTTGCATACACGAACATACGCTTCGCGCGTCACACATACTCGATTCCACGTATTCGATTAATAAAATACTCTATAAGTTAAATAATGAAGCGACGTTGTTCGCTCTTCCTCTCTCCTCCGTCGTTCGCTCGGGTACCGGCTTCGTTTCGCGTTCCCTACCGCGCGTTCCCTACTCCTCTCTTCCTCACTCTCTTCCTCACTCTCTTCCTCACTCTCACTCACTCTCTCTCTCTCTCTCACTCTGCTCGTCTTTCCGCGGTTGGATTCTCGCGCGAGTACCGCGAACGTTCACCTCCCCCATCGACGTCCGCTGTGTTCGAGAGTTTACGTGTATCGTTGATATACATTTATCTAATGGAATTCGTAAAAAATATGCCGAACGGCTCGTCGTCGCTCGGACGATCGTCGAACTTGGAAACACGTCCGATCGTATCGCCTCGCCAAGTGTACGGGGTTCGCCGCTGTCAGGCCGGTCGATGCAAAGATATGTAATTCGTCCCTCGTTTCGGGAGTCGCGTGACCTCGAACGAGAAACGAGAAACTGGAAGGCGGGATGGATGATTATCAGTTCTGGTTTCAAAGATCCCGGGGTTGCGAATCGATGTCTCGCTCGGGAACGACGCTCGGATGCCGCGTTCGTCCCGTCGCGCGATTCGTTCAACGAAAGAGGGATAGCGATGTCATCCGTGGGTCCGTCCGATGTCCTCTTCGGTCGAGCCACAGCGATGGCGCGTGCGCTGCAGAACGCGGCCGGAGATGGCGTTTAAGTACAAAATGCAAAAGCCTGCGAGCGAACAGTTTTGTCGAGGTCCGCGAACTGTTTTGTCGAGGTCCGCGAACGGGTTGAAGCTCAACACCAGCTCTCGCTCTCTCGTTCTCCGACGCCGTCGCTCTCCTCGTCGCTGGCCTCCTCTCCGTACATGTCTGCCAGCTTTCGAAACCTCGGTCCGAAATTCGAGAGGTAGTTGAATTTCAGGTCACCGTCGTCGGTACCTGTCGGGAGGAGATGTCGACGGTTAGACGATTGTCTTAGAAATGAAACGATCGTCACCGCGCGGGTGTATATACATACAAGAAGCCAAGGACGACAGGGATCCCTCGGAATTGCCCTCGCCCTCGTACGCGTAGTGCCTGACGTCGTCGAACGGGTTCGTGTCCGGATCTTTGTCGCAGCTTTCCTTCTTGCCGTCCAGGAAACCGCAAATATCCGGAACCTCGTCAGGAGCTTGGAAGAAAAGACGATGCAGATATGTCACGGGGAACCCAGAAGAAAGAATCGACTTCGACTCACCTCTGCCAGTCGCTATCTTCGAATCGATGGGAGGAGCGTCGTAAATGGTTCTCAGGACGTTCAAGTCGTAACCGGTGTCGACCTCGCCGCCTCCTTCGTCTTCGTAATTAATTATATTCTCTCGTATGTCGTCCATATCCTTGTACAGGTCGTCCGTTTTACGCCTGTGCACCACCACGGCGAGCAGCAGTATCAGCAGTATCGCCACGCACACCAGAATCGCGACCAAGAAATTGGTGTCGATTCCGAAGGAAATCGCTTTGGCCATTCCGTGATCGCAACCCGGATCCGCGTTGCGCGACAGCGATGGCATTCCCAGGTTGTACGTCTGAAAGGTACAGGAGGAGGAAGTTTAGAAGTGTCATCGAAACCGATGGTTCTCCGGCATTCTCAGAACAGATATTCACGTTTCCGTTGAACGTCATGTTACGTATGCAGCCGATGAACCCCTTGTCGGTCGGTTTGTAGTCCCATTGGAACTGCGAGCCGAGCTGCGCGAGGTTGGTCATGGTCCCGCCGATTTGCATGGGGCTGTTCACGTTCAGAAACTCGTTGGGCCCTTGCGGCGCGGTCAGACTCATGCAAGCCGATATGCCGCAATTGTCCACCTTCATCTCGATCGACTGAAAGAACATGGCGTCGTTTTCGTTCGGGAATCTAACGACGCTCTACCACGACAAAGAGTACTCACGTTCTTGGTCCAGTAAACGTCTATTCTATGGCTCTTGCCGTCCGTGAGCTTGATCTTCTTCTGATCGAGCCGCACGGTGCCCGTGCCGTAGTCCATGTAAAGGACCGCGTAGCCTTGTTGGAGCTCGAGCGCCATGAAATCCTGGATGGCCACTCTGTGGCTGTAGGTCATCGGGCCGAAATAGAAGACCAAACCGTTGTCGACGTGCGGCGTTATCTCGAGACCTGTGCGAGCACGATGAGCGTAACGTCCCAGCAGTCGAGGCATCGCGACGATCACGAGAAAAAATCAGAATTCTAGATCTTACCCAAATGAGAGTCGTCGCAAGCTTGACCGGGCGGAGGCATCACGGCCCAGCCGTCGCCGTGGAACCCGATGCCGAGGAGCTCGCACCTGGGTCCCTCGAGGCCGGGCGGGCATTCGCAACGCTCGGCGAGCGGAGTGCCGCCGTTCAGGCAGACGATCGGCTCGGCCACGTGACAGGTGCATTGCGGATCCACCACCGCCCGCACCCCGATGAAGGAGCTCGTGTTCGTGTAGACCGCATACGGGACGGTGCTGGCGTTCAAGTAACTGCGGCAGGAGTTGTTGCAGTGCTGCTTCTCGAACAGACACTCGTCGATGTTCACCAGCAGGATGTTCGTCTTCAGTTCCTGTTCGATCTCGCGGCTGTGCTGCGCCAGTATCGTGTTCAGCTTCTCGGGCGCGTAATACGGGCTCCCGTGAACGGAGAACCGAACGTCGAGCAGGCTCCTGTTATTGTGATGCGGAGAATGGAGCACCGTGAACACGTCCACGTTCTCGACAGACGCGTTCAGCATGTTGGCGATCCTCTCTTGGAACATCTCCTTCTTGCTGACGCCGATCTCGCTGGGCGCGACGAACTGCTCCGCGGTCATCCCGTAGAAACGAACGGAACCGGAGCGGACCACCGCCTCCTCCGGCAGCTCCTTCACGGTGACGTTCACGTACGCGTTCACCTGGTGCCGCTGAATCCGCCGGCTCTCCTCGGTGACGAGGAACTTCAGGACGAACGTGTCGTTCGACGTGCCCGACAGCAACGTGATCATCCCCGTTTCCTGGTTCAACCGGAACCCGTCGTGCGTCGAGGCCCAGGCGAAGTGTTTGTCCGGCAGGTCCCAGTCGTCCGGGTCGTTCACGTACACCCGACCGATCTCCGTGTCGGGCGACTCGCCTTTGTAATTGTACACGAATATGGAACTGGAGCCTTCCGACATCTCGTTGTCGTTCTCGTCGCCGATGATCACCGTCAGGGTCGACGTGCCCGTCATGGGCGGCTTCCCGCTGTCCGTGATCGCGATCGGTATGTTGTAGCTCTTCCGCTGCTCCCGGTCGAACTGGTACTGCGCGAGCAGGTTGGCGCCGCGGATCGCGAACCTCGAGCGGATCTCGTCGTCCGCGGTGTTCTCGTCGATGCGGAAGTAAAACGGGGGGCCGTTCTCGTCCGAGTCGTAGTCGCGGGCCTTCAGCTCCGTGATCCGACCCGGCCGCTTGTTCTCGCCCCAGACGACGGGGTACGGCATGTCGAGGAACGGCGCGTTGTCGTTTATGTCGATCAGCGTGATGTTCACCATCACCAGTTCCCGCAGCGCGGTCGGCGAGCCGTCCTCGTCTCGCGCCATCACTATCACCGTCCACATCGAGTAGCCGTTCGGCGCGTCCCTGTCCAACGGTTTCTTCAGCGTCATGCAGCCCGTCTTGTTGATCCCGATCAGAGGCTGTTGGTCGTCCTTCACTATGAAGTACGCGATGTGCTGGTCGGCGCTCCTGTTCTTTATGTCGGGGTCGTAGGCGACCACGGTGGTGATGCAACCTGTAACCAGACAGTCATGATAATCAAAATTCATGGGACGAAGGGGATCCTCTCGCGTACTTACCTTCCACCAGTTCCTCCTCCTTGATCGTCGGGTTCTTCTTGAAGTCCTCGAAGACCGGCGGATTGTCGTTCACGTTCTCGATGAAGATCTTGACCTGAGCGGTGTCGTTGTACAGGCCGTCGAACGCCCTCACCGTCAGGTTGTACTCGGTGATCTTCTCGTAATCGAGGGCCTTCTTCACGCGGATCTTGCCGGTGGTCCCCTCGATGTAGAAGCTGTCGTCGGTGTTGCCGAATATGATGCTGTACGTGACCGGGCTGGCCGTGTCCGAGTCGAGGGCCTTCACCTCGGTGACCAGCGCGTTGATGTTCGCGTTCTCGAGGATGGAGTTGGCCGTGTACACCGCCTGGGTGAAGTGGGGCGCGTTGTCGTTCTTGTCCGCGATCTCGATGCGGAACACCTGCTGGCCCTTGTTGTGCTCGCCGGTCTTGACGACGGCGCTGGGCGAGTTGTCCACCGCGATCACCTTCACGTTGTACGTGTCCTCCTGTTCCCTGTCGAACGTGGTCAACGTGGTGATATTACCGGTGTACTTGTCGATGGCGAACAGGTCCCGGAAGTTGTCCAACTCGTAGGTAACCTGGACAGAGGCCGGACGGTTAGACGCTCGGATGATCGCAGCGATTTGCAAACGGGCGGACAGCGTACCTGATTGTGAGCGGACGTCCCGTCCGCGTCGATCGCGCGGACCTGCATCACCGGCACTCCCGGCGGCTCGTTCTCGAGCACGCTGCCCTTCTTCATCTCGCGGAACACCGGGAAATTGTCGTTCACGTCGAGCACCTCGATGTCGACCACCGTCTCGGCGGCCAGCTGGTACCTGTTCTGCACCCGCACGATCAACGTGTACACCGTGTTGCTCTCGTAATCGAGGTGCTGGGCCAGCTTGATGTCCGCCACGTCTTTGTTCGACTCCAACCTGTCGGGACGCGGAATAGAGAGGGGAATCGTCGCAGCGTGTCGCGTCGTCGGACGGGACGGAGAATGGCGCGGCCGCGATTACCTGAACGTGTTTCCTTTGTTGGTCTGCTCGGTTCTGCCGGGGACCAGCTCGAACAGGAGACCGGTATCGTCGCCGCTGTTCGACACAGCCTTCAGTCGGACGATGCTCTGATCGAAATCGTTGAAGTTCTCCGGCAGCCGGATCGGTTCGGAGGATCTGGGCAAGAAGGCCGGCGCCTTTTTGTGGGACTCGACCACCCGTATGTCCAGATCGATCATGCTCGATCTCGGGATCTCGCCTTGGTCTTCCGCGGTGGCGGTCATGCTGAATTTGTACTCGGGATTCCTCTGTAACGAGAGAGACGCGGTTCAACCGTGCAACCGGCGGACATCGTCGGGATCCGTTCGATACTCACGTCGATGGTTTTGTTGAGGAATATCACGCCGGTGTTCCGATCTATTCGGAAGTACACCCCATCCTCGGGCCTCTTCGGCGACAGATTGTAGTAGACCACGGAGTTGTTGCCGTCGTCGATGTCCGTGGCGGAGACTCTCATCACCTCACGGCCCAACGGTAAATCTTGCGGTACCGACTCGGTGTACGCCTACGCGTCGTCCAGGCGAACGCGAACCGATCGGCAAACAGAGCAGAATTTGGTATTGTTCGGGCAGGAGTTTCGGGTAACTACGTTCGCGAGAGGCGAGCGCGCACGATCGCTCTCGTTGCTCTTCGCCTCTCGTTCGCGCGTGCAAAAGCGAGTCGAAACACCTCTTTCCTCTAATTGCTCGCGCTCGCATTCGATGCTCGCGACAACACCTCGACGAATAGAACGCGCGCGTGCAAGCCTCGCGACGCGATCGGCAAAGGGCACGCGTTTTCCCCGATGAACGAACGAATTCTGTCGCGCGAATTTCCAACGACTTCTCGATCGTGCCGCTCGAATCGCGCCATCTTTCACCGGATGCTGACAAACACAAGACGACACATACGTACACATGCGCCAACTGAAACGCATTCAAAGTAACATTCGCATTCACAGTCGCATTTCACTAAAGAAAAACATACACGAAAATAAATGCAATCGCTCCACACAAGTGTCAAGACCAACCTTCCATACGTATCCACGAAAGACCTGAGTTAGGAGAAAGAGAGAACATCCAAGCAAAAGGTGATTAGTGGCGGAATGATGTACCGTCCGTCGCAGCGAACCTGGCACTCTCGCCCTATTGGTCCGACTCGAAAGCGCGCGGTTCCGGTTTGTGATTCGCCGAGGCGCTTACAAAGAGTCGTTCCGAGCTCGCGATTGGGTCTCTCGAAGCGACTGTCTCCGCCCCCGCGACGTCGCGGGTGCCAGGTTCCCAGCGACGGACGGTAAATGTACGAGCGCGCGTTCGTCGACGGAACGATCCGAAGGCATTCGTCGCGGGAGCATTCGATTGGTCTGGCTCGCGAGAGATGAAGAGCAGGGCAATCGGGTCTGCACGGCTCGACGGAGCCAGGCCGAGTAAACGACCGACGAGGGGTAACCCGACGGCGCGTCGTCGCGACGTCGATACGTTCGGACGGTCGGTAACAGCGAATCGACCCGGACGAATCGACTGACCCGCGGGGACGGTTGCTCGTCGTCGCGGCTGCGGGAATGTGTCTCGAGGCTTACCACTTTGTCGAATACCGGCGAGTTGTCGTTCACGTCCTCGATGGTCACTTTGAACGTGCACACGTCGTCCAGCTGCGGTCTACCGTTATCGGTCGCGAGCACCGTCAGGTACGCCTCCTTCTCTCGAGCGGGCTCGTCTCTGTCCAGCACCTGCGTGGTCCTGATCAGCCCGGTCCTATTGTTGATCTCGAATTTCAGCTTCTCGCCCGGAGCGGTGACGAAGCTGTACGTGATCGTGCCTGTAATTCCGAGGCGTTAACGCCGATCTTCCGCAACGGCGGCGAACTCGACGACGAATCGAGGGTGAAGCTGTCGATCTGCTTAGCCCCCTTCGACCGCCTTGATCCCCGGTACACGTTGTCGCGTTAGTTCCCGAGGAAAATCCGAGATGCCCAAGCAGATCGACAACTCGAACTCGCGTTACCTCCTTCCTCCGGGTGATCCCTGTCCTCTGCGTGCACTTGTATCACCACGGTGCCCGCCGGTTCCTCCTCTTGCACGATGGGCGCGTAATTGGAGCAATTCGAAAACACCGGCTTGTGGTTGTGGTTCTCCCCTTGCTGCATCTGCGAACGGAAAGAGATCATCAGCGATTCCTCGCGCTTCCGCAAACCGAAGACGACTCGGGGTGTCAGCCGCGAAGGTGGACGCGGAGAAGCGATCGGATCTCTCGCATATTTAACGCGACTCGGTTCGTCGATACGAATCCATTATCCGGACGGATGGGAGAACGTCTTCGAACGATCGGGAGGATCTCGCGAGGCGAGACGAGGGTGATCTCGGGAAAGAAGCGGGAGGGGGCGGCGGGACAGGCTCGGCGAGAGTAAAGGCTCCGGAAGCGCGGAAACGCGTCGACAGACGAAACGACTGGCGAGAGAATGGTAAACGAGAGGGAGGAAGCGATCGTTTCCGGGGGTGAGAAATCGAATCAACGGGGATTCGAGGAGCACTCACCGTTAATTCCTCTTCGGTCGAGAACTGTGATCTCGCATCCAGGTGTCTCGAATGCCTCAATCTCGTTGCATCCGCTGAAACAGAAAGGCGTTGCGGGATTCGTTACTATCTTCCCTCGTGAAGGCGGTACGTGCCTCGCGCGCCGATTCGCGGTACCCGCGCGGCTCCCCGCGGCGATCCCGTGCCACCCGACACGCTCCGAGCGGGTAAACGAATCCGGGAAAGCTTTCGATTTTATCGGCGACGCCGCCGCCGCTGTCGGCTCGCGGTGACGAGCTGGCGTAAACGTTCGACGTCGAGTGCGCCGTTCCGCGGAAACGACGCGCGGACGGGACTGGTCGACCGACAGTAATTATTCCCATCGAATCGGGATCGGCCGTTCGCTCCGCCAGAAATGGAATCATCGACGCTCCCGCGCGAAGGCAGAGAGAGAACGGGCTCTCTCGCCGTCGGTGACGTCGGCGGACCTCGTAAATTTGCCAACTCGCCGCCGGCGAGGAAGAGTAGGTGGGAAAATTACGGTCGAACTCTGCCGCAACGGTCGCCGCTTCCGGCAACGTCCGATTCTTTGTATCGCGTGGCCGGTGCGCGATCCAGCGCGATCCAGCGAAGAACTCGGACGCGACACGCTTCGTACTCCCGAATCGCGGCGGACACGAACGGTGGAGGGAGTCGATGGAACGCGTTCGATGCGAAAAGCTCGGGCTGACCTTCCATTAGCGAATTTTCAGTTAATACGGTGTTGTTAATAGTTCGACATCTATCTCTCGGCGAGGGCAACGCGAAACTGTAATTGCCAATTAATACGTCGATCGATGAACACGAACAGGCCGTGCGAACGCGCGGACACCGCCGAGAAAAAGCCGAATTCTAGGTCGCACTCGCATCGCTACGGTCTCGGAACGGGACTTTTCGACTATGCAGCCGTTTCTAAATGAAATTTGACTGTTCGCGTAATGACAAATCATGGGTACAGGGAATGTACAGACGAACGATAAATGAAACAATACTATATACTATTCATGACGCACGATGATGTATTATACGTTATATCTAAGCGTCCCCATGTTTCCTCGTCGAAAGTCACTGCAAATCTTAATTTCAACCGCCCAGATCAGTACCCGCTGCGCGTCGTTGGGATCCAAACGACGGAATAGAGCCACGGGACGCTTACCTACGCGATTAACCTACTTTCGATCTTGCTACGCGAGTAGCTCGCGACGCGTCGTTGCCGCGTTTCCAGCGAAACCGATCGGAAAACGGGAAACGGATTACCGCGATCGCGATTACAGCGTCCGGCGTCTCGCGCGATGGACCGGCCTGTAAGAGGGTGGACGCGGGGGGACGTAGGTGTCCGGGCGAACGCGTCCCAACTGGTTTCCCGGGGTTCGCCGTGGTTCGCCGGACCGTTCTTCCTCGATAATGCCCCTAACGCGATTACCGGGCGCACTCCGGTTCGATCGCGCTTAAGATACGCTCGCCGCGCATAACCGACCGCGTCTTCGGCACCGTGCATCGACGCGCGGAAAACGTCCCCCGCAATTCCGCGCGCGATGAGGAGGAAGACGAACGCGATTCCCGACGTCTCCTTCGCCCCGCTCGCGGCGAGCCGCGCCGCGAATACGCCCCGCCGACGCGGCACGGGGCATTTGCCTCCCAAATGCGGTGAAAAGGAACTTTTCATGAATATCCCCGGGAGCAAAAAAAGCGTGCGCGCGTAGCGAAATAAATATCCGGGCTATAACGCGGTAGGATATTCCGTCATTTCCGTTAATTACCAACGACGACAGAGGTTTAAAGGAGACAACGGAGGGATTAAAGTGTGGAATAATTGATTGGAACCTCGCTACGATTTGAATAATTCCGAAGTATTTACATATTAACAAATTAGTATTTACATATTAAATTTCATGTCGATGTCACGAGCAGCCTCGTAATTACGTGATTTAACGTTTTTGAGGTTCACCCGTTTCGGAAACGAGTCCGGCAGAGTTGTATGTCGCGTTCGGTATCGCCGGAAAGGGCGAAGCTTAACCTTTCGTAAAAACAAGCGCTCAATTTTTGTTCTGTACTAAAGAGTAAGCTCCGCTCTTTCCGGTGATACCGAAAACGTCGTTACATTCCGCCGAACGAGCCGCGCACGCACGATTTCATTCGGAAAATGTTTTTTATCGCGTCGCGAAGGCAAACGCCTCGTAACGCGGCGAACGAAGGAAACGAAAGGGAGTCGCGTTCTCGTGTCCTTTGGCCTCTCGCGTGACTCTTTATCCCTCGTCTCGCGAGTTTCGCCGGGACGCCGCGCCCTGCTCGAAAGAACCCACGGACGGCACCGACGATTTCGCGTGTTTGCCAGACGTTGTCGGGCGTTTCCGATATCCCGTAATTCCTGTGCCCCTTTCATCGCGAATCTTTCGGATTCCGAAGAAACGGGAAGAGTCGCCGGTTGTTGGGTCGATCGAACGGAGCGGCAGAGGTGGAAGAAAAAAGGTAACGTCGATGAGATACATAGGGCAACGACACCTGATACGGAACGGCGAAGTTCGCCGGAACCTTTGCATTTTTCTCCTTTTGTACGTTGAATATGTGAATCGAGATTGTTACATTCTTCGCGAATGCACTGGACTTTGTAATTGTCACCGTAAACTAAATGTAACGTAACGATAACGTAATTAACGCTTTCACTGCCACGTCCATGTTCAACCCCTTTACAATGACGAGTGAGACTCTGATGAAGATTTCTAGACTAATTTAACAACAATCGATGTTACTCTACAACTATTTTGCTATTATCATTGTATTATCTTCAAATAAAATTTCCACTTGAGTAGAATGGACAATTTCGTTGCATCTCTTCCAAATTGTCGAAAAATGGTACATGAGCTTAGCGAAAGTAAATACGCCAAGGGGTTAACGTAATCTTGAAGATTCTTTTTCCCGGTGACGCATGGAACCAAGTTTCAATGGATCTACGAGATACAAGACAAATAGTAAAGTTCCAAAGAATCTCAGTTCCTGCTTCATTAAGAGAACCATCTCGACTTCGCAGGTGTTCCTAGTGTTTACTTGGCAGTCGAAGCGTCGAATGTTGCGTCCGATACGCAGTGTGTTCCATCGAACTGAATAGTGCTTCAACGAGAAATCCTTAATTGACGTTCAACTATTAACCCGTTGACGCAGATGTCATCTCCGCGCAACGCTCGCGAACGCAGGTGCGAATGACGGCGATGGCCGTCCCGTATTCAACATCGCGAATAAAAAGATATAATAATTCCAGTCCGAAGGCAACCTTCAACGAACTCCCCAAGAATCGACTAATTAATGAACGGAAAAGCGATCCCAGGCCGATCGTCGTGTTGACATCGTTTTCGGTGTCCGGCGAGGCGTTTCTCAGTGTCGACTGTCACATTAAGCTATTTATCTCCCGAAATATTGCTGTGTTCCGTGGCGGGAGCCGTTCCATATTAGGCGCCGTTCGCCTATATATACGTACACACCGTCGTCCTCCCTTTTAATCCCTCGACTGCTCGTCGAGCGCCGCTCCACCCTTTCCGCTCTCGCTGCAGCCCGTCCGCCGGTTCGCGACTACGCTCTCGTTACACCGTTCCCACCGTTAATTGCCAAAGAAACCAACGACGTCAATGGGAGCTCCGGTTGCTCCTTCTTATTAGCGTCGAGAGGGGCTTCTCCCTTTCTTCCCCGGCATCGACAACCCCACAGCCGACCCCGCCGCTCCCCCGCCGTCCGCCGCGCTATCGACGCGATCGGTTCTCCGCGAGACGGCCGTGCACCCCGAACGGAATTTCGACGCGGTTCCATTTTTCCCGGGGATCTTGGAATCGACTGGCTACCTGTTGCCCGAAGAAGCGAACGGACGAGAAAAACGCGAGAGACACACGTGCAGGGCGCGAGTGGTCGATCGGCTGCGCGTGTCGGTCCAACGTTCGCCAGCGACCGCTCTCCCTTTCTTCCAGATGCATCCCTTCTCGCATCCCTTCTTGCATCCAGAACTAGCAATCTCTCGGTCACGTATGCGCTGTCCGCGTCGCGTGATTCTCACGGGCCCGGTTGTAAACATTCTTCCCACTTCATCCACTCGAGGTCTGCACGCGGTCCCCAAACACTGCCACGTCGCAAGATGACAGCACGACCAACTGGGCATTCGTACCTTGAAAACCGAGCACTGCAACGATTTCTCCATTCTTCCATTTTTTCCGTTTCTAAGTTTCATCGAAATCATCCGGTGTTTCGGGAAAGCGAGTTCGAGGGGATGAAGGGGTGCGAACGGAGAATGATTATAACGGTGCACTGTCGCACACGGTCGCATCCCACAGACATTTCCTCGAAATTCGAGCCGAGGTGAAGCTATCGACACGTTGCTCCGTCCAACCCCCGATCGTTCCTTTGATGTCGCGAGGGAAGCGAGAGTCGTAGATCGAACGGCGACGTTGCTCTCTGTGCAGCGTCGTTCCTCCCCTGTCGGGGCAATTTTTCTCGTCGCCCGGACACGCGCCCCTAATTCCGCCGACGGAATCGGTCCGCTCCGACGCGACCCTCCTGAGGGTGCGCGCCCCGGCTCGCGCGCTGCATTTTTCGAGCAATCGGCGATTCTCCCCGCGCGCTCGATTAATTGGTCGAGCGAGGGTCGGAGCCGGCGGGGAATCGATTGGCAGCATTCGTGCTCGGTTTCCGCGGTCCTCCGAACGGCGAGCCTTCGTTTGTCAGATTTTACCCAGTTTACGGGCGACGAACTCTTCTCGATTCCGTTCCGCCGGCGAGGATTACGTCGCGGATTTAGATTACGGTAAGTAGCTTACTCTCCGGCCGATACTTCTGGTCGCGACGAACGCCGGCGAGCTCACTCGCGCGTTCCTGAGTGTAACACCGTGTCGCTGGAGGGGCGAGGTTAAAGGTCCCCGCGGATTCCTCGGGTCCGGCGGTTAACGATCGCGGGCGGAACGATATCCCCGTCGACCGGTCTTCCGGGGAAAGACGCGGAAAAACGCGAGCCGAGCGGCACCGACAGCTTAATCCTCGTCACGGGGCGAACGGAAACGGCAAATGGTTCGCAACAAAG